GGGGCGGCCCGTGATTTTAAACCCCCTTTCGGGGAGGCTCGGGAGGAGGGAAAAGGCTGCTGAGAACGCTTTCCCGGGTGAAAGGCGTTTGCACCGGACCCGTTAGGTCGGTGTCTGCATTTGCGCTGCGAGGCGATTACGTGGAAGCTGTGGGCGGTTTGGAGTTCACACTTGATTCTCTTTCCTTATGAGGAAACGGCACTGGCTAGAGGTCTTTAAAGAAAAAAAATAGTAGAAGCATTAACTGAAATCCAAGTGTGTTTTTTTAAGGCCTGCAGAGTTGACACAATACAGAAGGTATTTTTGCTGCTGCTCCCGAAGCTCTGACATCACCCAGTGAAAGAGGAAACATTTCAGGGATGGGACAGCCTGTATTTGTCCCTTTCCCTCTACCTCCCATTCACTCCAACCGGCAAACCACCTTTAAAAGGATGGGTGGGGCAGGACGAGTGAGAATCCTTAGATGCATTAATATGCTGGCACTTAAAATGTGGCAAATCTGATCGGGCTGCTTGCACGGGAAGGTGGCGATTTTTGATGTCCAGACGAAAGTGAATCCTCTCCAGGCGAATAGTAATTTTGGTTAAACCAAAGTACTTGTTCTGATTTACTGTTCTTTTTTTATTATTATTTATTTTTAGGCTTCTGGAGTTACAGTGAATGATGAAGTCATCAAAGTTTTTAATGATATGAAAGTAAGGAAATCGTCTACACAAGAAGAGATCAAAAAAAGAAAGAAAGCAGTTCTCTTCTGTTTAAGCGATGACAAAAGACAAATAATTGTAGAGGAAGCAAAGCAGATCTTGGTGGGTGACATTGGTGATACTGTAGAGGACCCCTACACATCTTTTGTGAAGTTGCTACCTCTGAATGATTGCCGATATGCTTTGTACGATGCCACATACGAAACAAAAGAGTCTAAGAAAGAAGACCTAGTATTTATATTCTGGTGTGTAAAAACAAAAGAAAAAAGCACTTTTAAAATGCAAGGATTGTTATTCACATAGTCAGTTTTGCCTTTGTTTTTCTTTTAAGTGGTATTCAACAATTTTTTTTTTCTTCTGTAGGGCTCCTGAAAGTGCACCTTTAAAAAGCAAGATGATTTATGCTAGCTCTAAAGATGCCATTAAGAAGAAATTTACAGGTACAAACATGGAATATTTTGTGCAGAGGAATTACTCTTTCTTAATTATAATAAGGTAATGGGATACATTATTTTTTTTCTTTTTAGGTATTAAACATGAGTGGCAAGTAAATGGCTTGGATGACATAAAGGACCGTTCAACACTTGGAGAGAAATTGGGAGGCAACGTAGTAGTTTCACTTGAAGGAAAACCCTTATAAAATGACAGTCAAGTGCCATGTGGATCTTAAGGAGCTTCCATTTCTCCAGCTCAGTCAATTGGAATAGTATTAGGTTTTTGTTTTTTTCCTCTTCCCACTGGGTCCTTCCAACACAATGGATGAAGGAAATATCATTCGTGTAAGCAGCCTATCAGTGATTGCCATTAGACTGTTTAATACTGTTACTTTGATGTAGAACCCAAGGAATGCCTTCCCATGATATTATAGCCAAAACAACTGGTTACATGCCTCCCTTGCAGCAAGCACTACACTGAATGTGATTGTCAATGTGAATAGCTTAGAGTACTGCAAAGGGTAAGCTAATTGAATGCCTTGAAAGTATTATCCACTGGTCAGATGGTAAACTTTATTCAGTATTATTTATCGTTGCATTTGATCGCAGTTCTATGAGGCTCCAGCATTCATACACCTCGCCTGCCTTGGCAAGCCTGTTTTTGTGACATGGCAGCACGGATATAACACTATGCATTGAGAGCACTTTTTTTTGTATTGAGTTTAACTTCCCACCCTCAAAAGGAATGCCAATTAAGTTGTGTTAACTGTGTCATCAACTTATCCGAGTAAGTCAGTGTTCATTCCTGTTACCTGCATATCTTCTGAAAAGAAGTAGCTGTTATTAATGCCTTTTTGTTTTCCATTGAGTGTACACTACTGATTAAGTGTAGGTAGGAGTTTTATGTTTACCATGTAAGTCTTGCAACACTAAAGATACTTTATCAGTCATGATGGCAATTTCTGTATAAAAGAGCCTTAAATGGAACGTTGTTTTTGAGATCAAACTCCCCACCCTCACAAAAATGGCCACTTTGCAATAAAAATTGTGGCATGTTACGGAACGTTGCCTTGTTTTCCTTGGACATTTTGCAAATGTTATGTGAAGCAAACAGCTATTATTAATCTCGGCATTGGTCATTTAGAATTTTTTCGTACGACATTCATGCGTGGTATTTTCCAGTTTTGTTGGGTTTATTTGGTTTAAAAAGATATACTATCCTAAAGCCAACTAATATAAAATATTAGAGGGATACTTTTATAAGCATTCGTTTATTTCCTTATGAATTAATATGGAAATCAGAATTTTTTTTTTTTTTTTTTGCACTTTGACATAAATACTCTCCAATACCTGATTTGTTCTTTGGATAAATTAGGGTATTATTTTTTAATTCACGTTTACATTTTTAAGTAGTTAAGTAGTACAAGCAGGAAGCTCTTATTGTGTATTTGATCATAATAAAAATAATTTGTAAAATGTCCACAAGTTTAATAATACTTCTCATATTTAGAGACTTTTATTTTAGCTACTGTTTCTTAATATATTTTACAAATAGGAAAAAAAATAATTGATGTAACAGTTTTAAACATTAGGAGTGGGGTTTGGCTGTGGTCCATACTGCTCTCCTTATAGAGAATCTGATCTGCTCAGTGTGAGCAGTTTGCTGTTAGCCAGAGCTATTTATGGCATACACATGCTTTTGTATCTTGTCATAGTTATCCACAAATGGCAAAACTGGACTGGATTCTACTGGTATGCAAAACAGGCATGCTAGTAAGCAGTCAGTGGTGGCTGAGAAGAGAACTTAACCCCATAGCTCTGAAGAATGCTCTTATCACAAAACAGGAAATGAAAAATCCCCCTTTTTTAATGTGTACAAGTAATTTGAATATGTTAATTAGATATTTTTCCATATTTTCAAAAGATTTTTTTAGTTGAAAACAAATAGAAGTTAAATATCTGGGCTTCCATTTAAAATTATATGAATGGCTTGGGATCTTTTGCACTGAGCGATTTTATTTCAGGCTTCCAGCTGTCCCTGTGAATTACCCTGAACATTCTGATAGCTTTTTGGTAAGGCCAAACTCCTCTAAGTAAAGCAGGAAGATACATATACAAAACCATATGTGTAACTGATACTTGTACCATGGAATTTTCCTCATTTTTCTAAGAAATAAGGAACTTTATATAAGTTATGTAGTATCTTTTGGTTTTTTATAGCTGATTTCTCAATTTTCGTATATGCCTCTTTAATTATATAATTTCAGAGATTAAATATTGCTTCAACTGTGGTACTTTGATTTGTTAGATCAACAGAACTGATTTTACTATTAAGTTCATCTTTGAAATACATCTTTGTGCATAAAGCCAAAAATATTGATAAAATTAATGGTTCACATGTTATTTGAGACTAATTTGGCATTTGATATTTTATTTTACAATCATTTACAATGAAACAATGTTCCAGTTAGCTTTAAAAGGTATACGGTGCTAATTAGTAAAATATTGAGGATAATATTTTACTGCTAGCTTGCAAAATTATAAGTGTTAAAAAATAAAATATATGAAAATATATAAAGCTGTTGAGATGTGTTTACTTCAGAACATTAAAATTTTTAAAACTAATATTGTAAATCAGAGAGGCACCATTATCTTGAGCCTTTTTTAGGATTTTAGTTGATTATACTTTCTCATTTAGAGATAATGATTTTCTTTGAAAACAGTGTTGTAGCAATTAATTTTAATATTGTCAGACAAATGGGAACAGTTGGCATGTATCCCAAACTGGCTATCAGCTGTTGTTTTCCATCATTATGTAATGTGGCCAGCATCGTGTATTTAATGTACCTTTTCAGATTGGAAGAAAAGCCTTTTGTTTAGTTTGGAGTTTCTCTGATATAGGTCCTTTGTAGCAACTAATTTATGGAATCTGGCAAATGAGCTTTGGAAGAAAATAGTTTTAAAAGTGTTTCCTTGTTAAGAAATAATCTCAGCAGTGGTAAATCATAGAGGAGTTGGAAACACCTTTCTTTACATTTGCCACTCTGAAAAAATAATCTGGTTCTGCTTTTTATAGGTCCTGTTTTTGCTTTCAAATTTAATACTTTGAGATTCAAAACAAATATGATTCATTTTTCAATGGATATTAAAGCTATTAGAGAAATGCAGGCAGGCTCCAGTGATTATTGCTTTTCAGACAGCATGAATTTATAGATTAGATATTCTGTTTTATTTCAAACCAATAGGAAATCTGAGGGTTTTCTTTTGCTCTTAAGCATTGAAGTAATTGCTTTCTTTCCATGTAGAATTGGAAGTCATCCCTCCACTTCAATTTCTTGTCATAAAGCATTTAGGCAAATTAATCTCTTTGAGCCTCAGTTTCTTCCTACTATGAGAATGTGACTATCTGTCTATCATATCTGGTTGCTGAGGATTAAATATGGCAAAGCCTTTTACAAAACAGGAAAAGGCTATGAAGATGTAATATATTCATTCTAAATGAGTGTAGTTAAGTAGATTTAAAAAACATGTTAAAAATAAGAATTACAGTCCTAGCTGGTTTGGCTCAGTGGATAGAGCAGGGGTGGGCAACCTTTTTGTGAGTGCCTGCCAAAACCAGCAAAATCTCTGACTCAAAATTCTGCGTGCCAACCCTAATTTTTTGAGAACATGTTATGCCTACTTGATATCTCTTAAGGTGTACATATGTGAAGAACCTTGAAGAAATAAAATTCATTCGAGCGACAAAAACACAGTATATGATGATGAAAAATACATTTATTTTTTAATGTATACATGTACACTGATAGTCCGACAGAAAACTTTATGACTCCGTTTGATATTATCAGTGGGACTTTTGCTGCTGCATCACTGATGACAGATTTTACATCAGGTTTATATTTCGTGACCTTCAGAGATATACATGAGCTACTACTTTCATCCGTCAGGCTACTCCTATTACGAGACTTAACAAAATTCATCACTGAGAACAAAGATTCACAAGCGTATGTGGATGAAACCAAAACATTGGTCAGATCTAGGAAGGCAGGGAGAGTTAAGGCAGAGGCATAGAAATTGCTCTTCCCCTCTCTCATCAATCCATGTCTATGGTCTTTAAGATAACTTATATAAAATTATTTATCTAAGATGCACCTACACTGAATTTATCTGAAAAATAAAGTCGATATTAAGAAAAAAATTGTAAATGGAAGATTATAAGAGGGTTTCGTGTGCCAGCAAAAGTTACTGGCGTGCCATGTTTGGCATGCGTGCCAGGGGTTGCCCACCCCTGGGATAGAGTGTCAGTCTGAGGACTGAAGGGTCCCGGGTTCAGTTCCTGTCAAGGGCACATCTTTTGCAGGCTTGATGCCCAACCCTGGTTGGGGTGTCTGTGGGAGGCAACCAATTGATGAATGTTTCTCCATCTCTCCTCCTCCCTTCCACTCTAAAACATCAATGGAAAAATATCCTTCGGTGAGGATTAACCAAAAAAAAAGTATTATAAGTCTTTGAACCTCTTTATTTTTGTAACCTACTTAATATGACCATTTAAAGACTAATTAGCTGATATGTAGCATCTTTTTCAGAATGAAGAATAAAGTGTGGCCTCTGAGTTGATGTTTGTTACTATTAATTTTTTTAAAAAGTGTAGTTTGCTTGTTCACATGTGACTGATCAGATACTATTTTTCCCTAAAATAATTTTGAAATAAATGAAAGGAAGTAGAGAAATATTATTGTTTTGGAATTTTTGTTTCCTGAGAAAGCCCATGCTCATAAAAATTTGAACTATATTTACACTTCAAGACTTTCTGCCCTGGCTGGTGTGACTTGGTTGGAGTGTTGTCCCATGTTCAATTCCAGGTCAGGGTACATACCCAGGTTGTGGGTTCAATCCCTAGCCAATCAATGTTTCTCTCACATCGATGTTTCTCTCCCTCCCCCTTTCCTCTCTCTAAAATCAATAAAAGGCATGTCCTCAAGTGAGGATTAAAAAAAAAAAGATTTTCTTAGATGTTTCAGTATTGTAAATTTATGGGATTATGGAAACCATAAGGACTATATAGACATTTTCCAGAAAGCAGATACCTCATATATATATATATATATATATATATATCTTAATCCTAAAACCTTGTGTATTTCCCTCCTCCTGTTCAATACTCATCTTCCTAAGGAGAGATAATACTATGTATTATAGTGTTTTAAGTCCTAGGACTTTGGTATCAGATGTCTGGGTTATTCACATATAGGCGTTAGGCCTTTAACACTTACTAATTGAATGATATTAGGGAAATCATTTAACCTCTCAGTCCTATTCATGTTTAAAAGAGGGGTAATAATTGTACGCCATTTCATAGGATTATGAGGACAAGTGAAAGCACCTGGAATAAATCCTGGCACGTAGTAAACACTCAATAGGATGACCCTAAAAGTTATAGTCCAAACCAGGACACTTTGAAGAGTAAAGGGGAGAGCTAGTAATTATGCCAGGACAACAGGCTTAAGCTGGGACAATCCCAAGCAAACCAGATGTGGTCACCCTATCAAGAGGAAGGCTGATATCAAAATGTAATACTTAACCGAAGGAACTGTATTAAAGATTCAAGGTCGTCATTAATTTCAATTATATAAAGTACTAGCATGTTGACTTGAGAGTCTCCTGAAGTAGGTAAAATTACCCTTAAGTAACCTTAGAAGGGTCAACTTAGGCCTTTTATGCCTTTTTTTTAATAGCTTTCCTTTTGATTTTCATACTTGTAAACTCTGATACTGCATTTTGCTATTATTGGTATGCTTTGTCTATAGTAGCTTCTCATAATTGTTTTTTTATTGTTTTTTGGGTTTTCTTAGAATGTGAGTGAGACATCAGTCAGCTGCCTCCTGCATGCCCCTGACCCAGAATCAAGCCAGCAACCTTTTGGTGCACACGAGGACACCCAACAAACTGAGCCACACTGGCTAGGGCTCATAATTGTTGCTTTTCATCTCACGTGGATTTGGAAATCCAAGTTTGTTAGAATTCTGTATAAAAAAGTGAATAGATTCAGAGTAAGTTACCTTG